CCCCGGCCGGAGTCGCGTGCACAGGCAGCGTGTGAGTGGCGAGAATGAGCGGGCGCACAGGGGAGAACGAGAGCGACCGGCGCACTCGGCTGTAGGTGCCGCCGAAACAAAGGGGGGAGCGGAAGGGGGCACGCAATGAGACGTGAGAGGAAGAGACGGAGACAGAATGAGACAGAGAGAAGGAAAGACTTCGAAAGAACATGAAAAAGGTCGTTACAGAGTATTAAATAAGTTTTGCTACCTTGAAACTGGAATGCTATCTTAGAACAGTTGAATTGTATTGAGAAATTAAGGAAACCTTACAATATGTAATAAAATGCTTGTTATTTTTATATTTGACTTTATCCTTTGATATCTAGTAGTTTTCAGTTCTACGGTTCAATTATTTTTATGATGTCAAAAATAAAACGGAAAAATCGCTTCAGCTGTTGCATACAGGATTTCTCTTCTCAAATTCGTGATTTCTAGCAACTAATATTTCTAGTCCCTTTTCATCTTGAATTCGCTTTTCACATTTCATGTCACTTTTATTACGTGTAATGTGAATGTATAAATTTGAGTTTTGGGTTGAATTTAATTGCACCATGATAAGAATTATATTTTAATTAAACCATCGGGAAATGCTCGTGAGATCACAAGACCAGTATTCAAGACTATTTTTATGAGATATTTATAATCACTCCTATATTAGTTAAATTCAGAAAACGAAGCACTACAAATAAATATGAAAACGAAACAAGTAAATACATTCATCTGACAAAATTTGTTAGTCGGATCTGCTGCATCTGCAAAGAGAAACTATTGTATTAATTCCTACTGCTATTGACAATTGAAAATTAACAGCCATAAGCGAACTAATTACACAGACTATATCAGCCTTATATTGCAACTAAGAGGACAAATTATCATAAGCATTACTTACACAATGAATAGAAACATTTTCATATTCTAGAAATTTCTCGTTCATTTAGCTGCCATATAAGGGCGTATTAAGTACATTTTTCTTCACTTCCGTTCTTAAATTATAAAATCTCAGGTCTCATTAATAGAATCGTCTCTGCCCGATATACTACACACTACTTCTCCTTTGCACTAAGGACGGTTTGCGATGAATTCGCTTAAGGCACATTTCGGTCTGCCTGAGGTAAGTACAAGCTCTCTCACACAACTGTAGTATTAGGAACATTAGGCAATTTCAATAGCAGTAGTTAACATGCATCACATTTTATGGTATTCAAATATTTTTGTGTAGCATAATTTTATATATAAGTTCTTCATTGAAAATTGTTAATCGCAATTTCTTATTATAATTATTATACTGCAGTTGAAAATATGAGTATACTTATGCCATCTAGAAAAAGATTAGAAAAATGTACTGTTTTTTGTCATTAAAATTGTTGAGCCCCATTTGAAAGAGATTTGTTCCACACTATCAAAATACAATTTTGTGGTATCCACAAGATAGCATATATACACATTCATTATAACGAATATTCTCTTTTATAATATGTTTAAAAATTCTCTTCAAATTTCACAAACATTGAGAACACATAAATACTTCACAAGGGGAGGAAACTACACTAAATGTAAATTATTTCTTTCTTTCCTTCCTTAAAAGCACAATTCAACATTTTACAATACGATACACGAATAGCTTTCATACAAAAATATTATACTTCTTGGCAAAATACTATTTTCTTTCACAAATATTTTATCTAATACATCTCTTGTTTATTTCTGATCGTTTAACATAATGGTCCCAGGGTCAGGAAGTTACACTGATTCTTTCGTTTGAGTTACTTCACTTTTGAAGTCTCCATCGTTGGTTTTGCTGCCAGGCAAGGGATTCTGTGGAGGGTCAGTTACTGAGGGGGAATTCACTACAATCAAACTGACATTTGCTTGCTATCATTTCCCCTAAAACTATTATATGTTACGTAAGATTTAGTTCTGTCAAGTCCATTTTTCATTCGAGACCACAACAGACCTGGAAACAACGTTAATTTATTGTCTTACAAGTACGTCTGAGAAAAATCGATTAAACAATTTATTTAAACTTTTATTACTTAAATTATTATTTATCGCGTACTTGGGGTCAAACACTACGTTTTCATTATTCTTTTCAAAATAATGCGCGTGCTCACTGAGAATGTGAAATGACAAACTGATAAAAAGTGCTGATAATATATGGTTCGAGGGCGGGACCGAGTTCCAACTTCGCTCCACCGAGCACACTTGCAGTCTCGATCTGATCGAGTCACGCACCCTGTGCGTTGCTCCCAAGAGGCAACGCTTGCGTTGATGTCTCTGGAATGCGCTCAGGGCGCTTTGGGCGGCCTCACGAAACTGAACTACTCAAATGGCAAACGCATTCCGATTCGAATTCAACGCGAGTTTGAAGGGATTCCAGATACCCTCAGTGATCAGTATTCCGCTTATCCCTTGCTGCGAATTGGAAATTCTGAAATCATTTACTTAAGGTTAAGAATTAAAGAGTCGGAAGCACGAATAATGCCTCACGAAAACAATACAGGAAGAGGTTTCACTCAAGACAGAACTGTTTTGTGGTCTGTAATGACCTCAGTGCCAATTAGGCTTGACGCGATTCTGGAATGAAATATCACAGCCCCACCTCTTCGCACAGTGCCTGCTCCGATCCCCGGCCTGGCTGCTCTCGTGTTCGATTAGACTTGTCGCTGGTTTTCTTTACTTAGAACCAACAACGATCGAGATCGAAAATTCATTGCGTTTCCTTTTTCATTAATAATGCAGTGGTTGGGCCTCTTTATTTGCTATGTGTCAGATATCCCACGAGTGACATTGATGGATACTTTCATAAAATAGCGTTGAAAAATATTTTTAAGAATTGAACTGACCAATGTCTGGTGTATTAAAAATTTCCTTTTTTAATCAAATAACATCAATTGTAATATTATTGTTTTCCAAAAAAAGTTACTTGAGTTGTAAGTTGTGCTTTGAAGCTTCACGTAACATTGCGTGTATTCACTAAATATACATACACGTACGTTCTTACCAAAGTCACTAAAAATTATTTTTACTTTATTTCAAGACCTATCACTTGCTTTTTGAATTGAAAATTTTGCTTCTACTATCGAATCATGCAGAAATACACGAGAGATGAAAACCTTTCTTCATCTCGTGGAGCATCTGTGCACATTGAAAATTTAAGAATACATTCTGAGATGTAATAAGTTAACAGCCGAGGCAACATTTAATCATAGACTGAGACTTAGCAGCCATTTCTCTCGTTCTGTAGGGCGAGACACAACAAATATGAATCGATATCTGTAAGTCATATTTTCTCTCTAACTGGAGAGTGATTAAGTAGAACTATCTTTAAACATTTCATCAAATGTTTTCGTAAATTCTGATATTCGAAAGGGACAATGGTAGAATTATGAGGAATGTATAAAAGAAAAACCAAATGAAAGGCAAGTAAAGGTTTGAAAAATTGGAATGATTGGGTAATAGCACTTTGGAATTAGTAAAAAATAATTGATCAGAATCTGTGAAAAATGGAACGTTTTGGAAAAGAATGTCCCAACGTGGTTTGATAACAAGGAATTAAGTAATAATAAAAGAAACGTGATTAGGAGAGAAAGGATTTCGTTGCATCAGAGAATAGGCCGTCGATTTAAAGTCCACCGAAGGATGTTTCTCTATTTTTTTTCTCGTAAAGACACTTTTCCGCACGACAATGACCTCTTCACTTAAACGAGAGGTTGCTATTCGCAATAAGTCTCAACAATAACAGCAATGGGAATTGCAAATCTTGTAACAAAGATACATGGCAAATACCACATTTTCAATAAACCTCCAAAATGTCTCGCATTTCTTTACATTCATTAACTTACGTTCATTGTATGAAATTCGTAACCGTGGTGTGACGATGTCTGTGGTTGTGTATGAGAGCATTGCTCTTTTGAGAGGCTGCACCAAGAATGTTTATCTTTGTGGTGCAAATTCAGATTTATTGATATTCTACGTAAGTTGATTAGAATTCCAAATGGCTCCATTCCTTGGAAATTATTGTTAATAAGAAAATTCGTAAATTCTCCAGTAACGCTTTTCATGTATTTATAATTTCCTTCGCGGATAATTTTCATGCATAAAAAAAATGTACCAGAGCGTAGGTATTTTCTAGCTGGAGATAAAATCAAAGAGGATCGTCCAAGTTTGAAAATTGAGAACCATGTACAAGTATATTCCATCGCGTCTTAGATTCTCCGTGAGCAATTATTTCCCTGCATTGTGGACAGTTGGCAATTGTTTTCGATCGCATTGGCGAGCGATGCCGGCATGGAATAGCACCTCCCAGCTGTGAAGAGTCCCTGCATGCCTCGAGGTCTCACTTACTGCGGGTGCATCCGACCCCACCCCCCACCCCGACCTTTAACCAAGGGCGGGGCGGCGGGGCGAGCTCGTGGCTGCCTCACGCCGTGATGGCGAAGCTCATGGGCGGCGGCGGCGTGGCCGCGGCGAGGGCGGGCGGGGGCGGAGCGGGCTCCGCCCCGCGCTCCGCCCCTGCCGCCCCCGCGTCGCGCGAACGCACGAAGACTCCTCGTGCTTGTAGAGTAGCTTTGAGCGCGAAGGCCTGCCGCAGCGCGAGCACACGTGCGGCTTGGTGCTGGAGTGCGTCTGCACGTGCGCCCGCAGGTTGGACTTGTCGGCGAACGCCTTGTTGCAGATGGTGCACTTGAAGGGCTTCTCACCTGCGCACCAACAAATAAACTTATCTTTTCTTACTCAACCGTGCACTGCACCTACATCAGCTGTTCACGGTTTCATCCAATTGGGAGCCTGAATGTCCCCATAGTGAGGTCACTGTAGCGACATTTAAGCTCCCGATTGGATGAAACCGTGCACTGCTACTCGTGTTCTAAACCGTGCACCGTACGTCAAGCGCACGAGTAAATAAATGAATGCACATGTCCATTCTCGATTAATGGAATACGGAATATCTTATCCTGACAATGCTTAAAATTTCAGGAAAGTCTTTGAAAGTTAATCAAATAAGTCTCAATCAATTTTTACATATTAGAGTTGTATCCCTCGTTTTACCAATGAAATAACGTTATTTATAGAATGTTTTCTCTTTACTCCATTTTATTTACCACGTTCGCTACGAAATATTTTTCAGAGTGCTTTATACAAAACAATTGGTAAAACTTGTGTGACTACAATAATACATGCTTTCTCGTATTATTTGTAAAAGTTACATTTCAAATGTATTATATCACTTGAAGTAACATTTGTGTTCTTTGAAAAAATTGAAAGAATACATCAAAATACCCTGAATGGGATGTTTTTCAGTTAATTTCGATATATCTATTGAAATAGTTTAAAGAAAAAATTGCAGCTTACTTTGAAAAAAAATATTCTTAAAATTACCTTTATTCCTCGCAAACTTGTGCGAAAAAACTTCTCATGTTTGTAAAATATTGTGGGCTACATTATATTATTTAAAAATCTGATTTAGAAGAATAGATTTCATTAAGAATGAATATATGTACAATGAATAATGAGTATATATACAATATCTTCAATATTGTAGTTGCATGAAAGAAAACGAAAAGAAATTGCAATTTTTGAAAATTAAATAAAGACACATCGTAAATCGTATCTGACCCATTTTTATAAGTTCTATCTGTGAGAAAAAGAGAAATTTTCCACCATTTTTGAAAAAAAAAGAAAATGTTTTGAGACTTCATGTAATGTAACCCATAAACACTATAATATAAGTTTCAAATTCAGTGGGCCTTGACAACCACATCGATCAGGAAATATCAATTTTCGCGAAAATCTGCCAGCAGGTCGTTAGTGTTGTTCATGGAGAGACAGACGAACAAACGAATGGGTAGACGGACGGAGAGACGGACAGACGTTTTGCCGTTTTATTTTAGATATTAAGGCTGCACGAAACGTGAATTCTTGCTACACGACGTGTTAGAAGAAGTTATTTACTACATGTAGGAGCAAGAATTGCCCACTTTTTTCATATCAGGACGTACAATACAACTTTTTCTGCCGAAAAATTGCCGTTTTACTCCGCAGAATTACATAGCATGTGCTACGTAAGCAGTATGCGAGAAAGTTAAAGTATTTCAGTAAATGCTGGGGGCTTGTATTAATAACTAAAAATTTTACCTGACTGTAATAGAGGTTGGGCAAAGACAGAGGAGGGTGTATAAAAAAATTCACTTCTGAGATATGGGCTCCAAATTTGAAATAAAGATTCTACAAGTCGACTTTCTCAACAATAGCTAATATCGGAAATATATGTACTCAGGAGATTATCTACTACTACGAAATATCTCTGCTTCGCTAAATACGAAGATATCGCGTTTTTGAAATCTATGAAAGACTGAAAAATGTGTACGGTGATGCAACAGTGGATGTCAACACTGTTAGACGATTGGTTCGTTGCAGTAAAGAAGCTGAAGTGCAGATGAACTGTATCTTATTCTCTCCCTCAATGTTGCGTTGAGTGACTGCAGCCACTGATACGTCGCTCTGCTTTTCATCAGCCGACGGCGCTTGCTCTGCAGCTTCGTTACAACGGCGAAACCATCGTCTAACAGTGCTGACATCCACTGTTGCATCACCATACACATTTTTCAGTCTTTCATGAATGCGAATTGGTATTTCATCTTCTGCATTCAAGAATTCAGCCACAATACGCTGTCTAATGTGAACATGGATGTCGGCCTTTTTGTAAACGACTGCTGTTTTGCCACATGTTGACGCGAAAAGTTACCACTGTAGTGAATTGTAGAAGAAGGTTTCAGAAATAGTGCCAAATTAAAATTTTTCTCATAACTAATTTTATTTCAGTAATAAATATTGAAGGCATTACTTTTTGACTGCCCCTCGTCGAAGAGATTTGACAAGAAAGACCGGCCGCCGCTGGTAGATTGACCTGGGGCAAGTGGAAGGGGCGTGGCTCACCGGTGTGCGTGCGGATGTGGCCCTGCAGCAGCCAGGGCCGGCTGAAGCACTTTCCGCAGAAGGGGCACTTGCAGGCCTGGCTGTGCGTGCGCACGTGCATGGAGAAGGCCGGCATGGACACGTAGAGCTTGTCGCAGTGCGGGCAGCGGCGCGCCTTCTTGTCGGCGGGCGAGCGGTGCGTCTGGCGGTGGCGCGCCAGGTTGGACGCCGTGCTGTAGCGCCGCCCGCACTCGCCGCAGCCGTGCGCCAGCAGCGCCGCCCCGCCGTCGCGCCGCCGCTGCCCCCGCCCCGCGCTGCAGCGCCGCCGCCGCAGCGCCGCGCCACCGCTCACCTGCCGCAAACGCATGCAATCTTATAAAATGTTACTTGAGATCGTCCTCAATACTTTACAACACTCACTTGTTTTACACGATCGTGCCTTCTTTGCGGCACCCGTACGGCAGTCGTTTTTGACATGAGATTACCGCATAGAAACCCTTCCCCCTCCAATAAAACTGATGGTAATTATTAGTTTCCATGCAGAAGTTCTGAAAAATGTTTCCGGGCACGTCGACTGCTATAATAATTAGTCCCTTCAGTGTAGTGAATATATTATAAGGAAGGTGCTTGTGTTACTCCTTCCCCTGAAATTTCGAGATCTGGCGCTGACCCACAGGCTTTCGGCGTTTCTAATCCAGGTATCTCCGCCAGCAGAGCACCGATTTAGTTGGAGAAAGCTCTAAGCTTTCGTCAGGTGTGCTGAATGTGTATGCGTGTAGGTGTAAGTGTGTGTAAGTATGTGTAGGGTTAGGACAAGAAAGGGTATGGAAAGATCGGGCGTACTCCGCGGCCCGTATGTGAGGGTACTGCTCCAGCATTCACCTAGTGTTGATGGGAGAAACCACGGAAAACTAGCGATTAGAGCAGCCGGCCGGAAGAGGTCTTGGTGCTGAATTCGATCTAGTTCTATAGCTAGTGTCGAAAAATCCGCGTCCGTCATGACTCGAACCCTAACTTTCCCTGGTAAGAGTCGCTGCAGTGTTGCCCTGCGTTTACTCGGTCGGTAAAAAGACGGTGAAAAGATTCCTTCCAATCTGCGAACGGTAGCAGTTACTATGGTACTAGTGCTTAACTTCGCACAGTACTTGCGAAAGAGGGGTTCGAGTCCTGCGTTGTCATGGAGAATTCACCCTTCTGTTGTGGGGTGATTATTTCCTTTCATGCATCGTTCCTTCGTGGCGGAGCCGGGTGGTAGAAGGGCTGGTGAGCGAGGCAAGCACGCAATATATCAGGGATGGACAGCCTCGTAGATCCCTTAATCGTGTTGTGCCTTGGCGAGGTTCATTCCCAGAATCACATCTACCTCTCCAATTCATTCCTGATCTGTTGCCCTGTGATCCATGTGTGTGTCTGCGTAATTTCGGGATTACCTCCTCACATCCATGTGAATGGTACAAACACTGAAGTGTCCCATGGGCTACCTCGGGCATAATTACACTGGTACGGGATAGATATATACCAAAGGGGCTACGCAAGCATGAGGGGCTCTCACTGGGACGACTTTTCATGTAAACTGTAGTGACTGCGGAAGAACCCGTGGCTCACTGCCATCTCACCTTTCGCTAGACTAGAGTTGATTGCGCCCGACGTTGCTAGCAGTTAGTTGTTTTTAGTCTCTCTCTTAGTCTCTCTCTGTCAGTTTGAATGTGATTGTAATCTGTGGTAATATCGGCGAACGTTTTTGTGAAATAGCATATGGAAAGTCGAAAACATTTTTTAAACTGTCAGAACTAGCTCGTTAATTTAATTCGAAAAGGATGTATGTTATCTTCTTCTGTTCCTATCTGGAATTGTTTGTAGCTTTGATTTTAAATAAACCTTGGCTGTAAAAAAGAAGTGTAATTAGCATCACTCTTAGATCTACGCATAGAACAATGTTGTGTACTTTTAGATAATTTCAGGTAACGTAACATTAGAAACAATATTGGTCTAAAAGAATGTTGAGGATATATAATAATTTGTAGAAGAAACAAGTAATTTCATAAAATGAAAACAGAATAACTGAATGAATTATTAGCAAAATGACGTATCTCCATTTTCGTTTGTTTTTGACGCGTCATTGTCATGCTGACAAATATTGTGTTCAAAATGGCATTTCTTGTATGCTAAAAGGTATTCAAATACCGTTGAATGCAATGTTTTAAGAGGCTGAATGTGAATACTTATTTTTCTTAAAAACAAGTTGTGTTTCTTGGAGCTACGTCACATGGGAAATAAGTTCAATTGCGATAATAAGAGACTACGATTTTGGAGGGCGATGCGGGGGGGGGGGGGGTGTCTCACCTCGGCGAGCCTGCGTGGAGGTGCCTACACCCACGCGCCTCCGTCGCCGCGCGTCGGCGCCGGCGGGGGGGGTGAGGGGGGCCGGGGGCTTGTAGGCGCGACTCTGGCGTCGATGGCGGACACTCCCGCCGGCGGGGCAGGGCGCAGGCGGCGCAGGCCTCGGGGAGTCTCCATGGCGAAGAGGAGCGCCGGCGGTGGCGCGGCGTGGCGTTGGCGTTGGCGTTGGCGTTGGCGTTGCGTGAGCGTAGGCATGGGCGCGGACGTGGGGTTCGGGGCGGGGGAGGCGGTCGGCCACGCGCCGAAGGCAGTGGCGCACGCACGCCTCCCCCACGCTCACACGACGCTCCGGGCTGCTCTCTGCAACACAGCGCACAGCGTTCATTAGACAAACTGTATTAAGCCATTATATGTCCCGTGAATGGCAATTGAATCGCAATTGAATCGGGTCTCGGGGTTCCTAGACGGTCACCCATCCAGGAACCAGCGATGTCTCGAATTCGCTCAACCGTCGTGACTTTACGTGTAGTTAACGAATTCGGCTAGCAACGCCGGCTTCGCGGTCGTGGCCTTTCAGTAGAACCATCCCTGTTTTCTCCTGGATGACCGAGGGTAACCACGAAAACCCCGGTCAGGAGCACCGGCAGGGGGTTGAACCTAACTTAACCTCCGCGTTACGCTGGAATTGTGAAGCCAGCGCGTTACGACGTCATTAGAAAATAATAACAATCAATTATTCGAATGAATTCATAGATTGATGATTCCAGATGCGTTTACTGCGTCGTCATTTTTTGCGTAAAGGCAGGGAATTATTTTTATCGTGTGAGGTGGCAGTGATATTCTCCCGCTGGATGGCGAGATCTACCGTAGACCAACTCGTCAGTTTGCAGACCTTTCCCCAACCAGGTATCTCCAACCAGCGGGGCATCGCCCCAGCCGGGACAAGCTCAAAGCTTCCGGCTGGTCGTCCGACATGTGTGGTGGTACAGTGCATATGAGTGTGGTTAGGTAAGAGGTTAATATAGGACAAGGAAGAAGGACAGATCGCGCTTGGTCCATGACCATTATTTATCAAAACTACAAAATCGAAGAATATACAAAGAAATGGAAAGACAATGTATTAATACTCGTATACCTAAGCAACTCCTCTTCTACCCACCTCGAAGGAAAAAAAAGCTCTGGTTGACCCAAAAGAAGTGATCAGACTAATGCTTGAGAAAGAAGAAGGCAATCCATCGAGACAGAAACACATATTTATCAAGTAAAAAATAAAATTCTGCTAAAATTGACATTTAAACTAATATCAAAAAAAGTTTTTTCAAAGTTAAAAAGCAAATGGTGGTGATACTGCAAGACGTGGTTCTATCCACCCACGAAACGTAAATAATGATTTTTTGTAGTAAAAACATGTAATTTTATATGTACTGATTGTCTATCACGTAATAAGGAAACATCTTCCCTGTCATTAAAATATGTAAGTGCAGCCCCCTTCAGTACATCATTCACGGGTGGAGTACTTTCTTCAAGTTAGTATCCTCTTCTGGCATTCGATTTCTTCCGTTTGATAATTCGTTTAATCACATTCACGACGACCAAACTCGATCGGATTTAAGGATCGGAAAGAAATTAAGAAATGTTTGAGAAAACATACGTGCAGATACAGAATGAGGCATTGAAAGTATTTCATTTAATAGAGATTTAAGGAATAACCCTTCTAAAGTCGCGTGCCGTTTCGTGCTATTAGTACGTAGTCCTGTGGGAACTCCTGGCATCTCCAATCTTCTCTCTAATATTATTAACAATTATAGTCTTTTTGCAATATGTTCTTCGTGATATTCAATTTCACACAATTCATTTCAGTACAAAACCTAAATTTTTTTAAATTAAATTTAATTGGTTGAAATGTAAAATATTCTAAGTGACGATTATGTATTACATTGTTTCAATAACTACTACAATATATAGTTTTTTATTTATGTATGAAAAACGTGAATAGTAATACGATTTTTTTATTAAATATTGTAATCATTGGTATCTTCTACTTCACTGGCGATACAAATAATTCAATATTATGTAATATCACGAATAAATCTGGACGCGCGTTGGGATTGTAGTCCCCGTCACCAAGTAAGATTTCTATTTTAAGCACATTAACGCGTACAACATATTTTCTTTTCTTGGGGGAACGTAAACAAGTGGTTGAAAGATGCTGTAAATTCCACAACAGAATATGGGTATTGCGGTGAGCTTTCGTTGCCATTTACAATGAAATAATTATATGAGCTATCGTAATGAACAATTTTGTTGGCAATGGCGACTCATAAATTTTTTTCATTTCACAAGAGAAGGTGAATATGAGATATCGCAAGTGGTCTGGAGAAGCTTACAGTGCCCACGCGTTATAGATTTACTCGTTCGCCCGAGATCCGTGTGTGTGGCAGTAAAAAGTGATCAATTCGCTTGGGGGGTGGCCGAGCAGGCGCGCCCAAGATGGCGGCGCAGGTGGCTGCCGCAACAAGTGGGCGCCGGAAGGAGCACGGGGCGCCCGTGGGGGAGGGCGGAATCTTGGGCCGTTGCCACGGGCGCCCTCACGCCCCCCTCGCCCTCCTCGCCCTCCTCGCCACCGCCACGCCATCGCCCTCGCCGCCCTGCGCCCCACGCCGCGCGCTCCGAAATAGTCTCGCAGCCTCGCTCTGCCCGCCCCGCTCCGCCCCGCTCCGTCCCGCTCCGCCCCGCTCCGCCCCGCTCCGCCCCACGCCTCGCCCCACCCGATCGCACAGGCGCGGACGACGCTGCAGCCGCCGCTGTAGCCCCAAGAAGCTCCTCTTCAATGGCCAGCATGTCGATGGCTGACAACCACGCTGTTCTAAGTCCATTTTATTAAATGTATCGGGGGAACCATTTAAAGGGTTTCTTTGTAATTGGCAAGAATGGAATGGACTAGTATGGAATGGGTTTGTGGCATTCTAAAAGAAAGTGGAATATGTACAATTTTGTTTGATGCACACATGTAGATATGGAGATTCAACACAATGAAAC